TGATTATTATTTGACCCTGCATGTCATCTATGAACGTTTGAACATCTTGAAGAACAATCTGGCCTTATAGAATGGCGCCGGAGAAGATGGCTGCTGTTTTACAGCCCTCTAACCAATTGTACTATTATGTGTGTTTTTCCGCGTTATTTGTAGTTTATTCTATACATAATGTTTCTGCCATCATCTCTTATAACCAAAAAGAGCTTCTGGATATCAGGACAGCGATTACTCACCTCGTATTGGACGAATAACTTTTCTTCAACAAGTCGGACGCGAAGGATATCCTACAGACACCCGACAAGGCCCAAATCCCCGTCATTCGCATGTGAAAGAGACGGAGATATCGTGGACGTAGGTCGGGGTGCCTTGTAAGAATCCGACGGCGAGCGAGTAAACTGCCTCTTCCATCAATCCTATTAGCCAATGTTCAATCATTTGAGAATAAATTGGATGACCTAAGATTACGGTTATCCTACCAACGGGACGTTAAAAACTGTAATATCTTATGTTTCACCGAGTCTTGGCTGAACGACGACATGGACAACATACAGCAAGCGGGCTACACGCTACATCGGCAGGATAGAACGGCTGACTCCGGTAAAACAAGGGGTGGCGGTCTGTGTATATTTGTAAACAACAGCTGGTGCACAAAATCAAATACTAAGGAAGTCTCAAGGTTTTGCTCGCCTGAGGTAGAGTATCTTATGATAAGCTGTAGACCACACTATTTACCAAGAGAGTTAATCTATATTTTTCATAGCTGTCTATTTACCACCACAAACCAATGCTGGCATTAAGATTGCACTGAATGAGCTGTATAAGGCCATACAGTGAGGGAAAAAAGTATTTGATCCCCTGCTGATTTTGTATGTTTGCCCACTGACAAAGAAATGATCCGTCTATAATTTTAATGGTAGGATTATTTGAACAGTGAGAGACAGAATAACAACAAAAAAATCCAGAAAAATGCATGCAAAAATTTTTATAAATTGATTTGCATTTTAATGAGGGAAATAAGTATTTGACCCCTCTGCAAAACATGACTTAGTACTTGGTGGCAAAACCCTTGTTGGCAATCACAGAGGTCAGACGTTTCTTGTAGTTGGCCACCAGGTTTGCACACATCTCAGGAGGGATTTTGTCCCACTCCTCTTTGCAGATCTTCTCCAAGTCATTAAGGTTTCGAGGCTGATGTTTGGCAACTCGAACCATCAGCTCCCTCCACAGATTTTCTATGGGATTAAGATCTGGAGACTGGCTAGGCCACTCCAGGACCTTAATGTGCTTCTTCTTGAGCCACTCCTTTGTTGCCTTGGCCGTGTGTTTTGGGTCATTGTCATGCTGGAATACTATTACAGACTACAAAGGGAAGCACAGCCGCGAGCTGCCCAGTGACACAAGACTTCCAGACGAGCTAAACCACTTCTATGCTCGCTTCGAGGCAAGCAACACTGAAGCATGCATGAGAGCACCAGCTGTTCCGGATGACTGTGATCACGTTCTCCGTAGCCAATTTGAGTAAGACTTAAGCAGGTCAACATTCACAAGGTCGCAGGGCCAGATGGATTACCAGGACGTGTACTCCGAGCATGTGCTGACCAACTGGCAAGTGTCTTCACTGACATTTTCAACATGTCCCTGACTGAGTCTGTAATACCAACATGTTTCAAGCATACCACCATAGTCCCCGTGCCCAAGGACACTAAGATAACCTGCCTAAATGACTACCGACCCGTAGCACTGACGTCTGTAGCCATGAAGTGCTTTGAAAGGCTGGTCATGGCTCACATCAACACCATTATCCCAGAAACCCTAGACCCACTCCAATTTGCATACCGCCCCAACAGATCCACAGATGATGCAATCTCTATTGCACTCCACACTGCCCTTTCCCACCTGGACAAGAGGAACACCTACGTGAGAATGCTATTCATTGACTACAGCTCAGCATTCAACACCATAGTGCCCTCAAAGCTCATCACTAAGCTAAGGATCCTGGGACTAAACACCTCCCTCTGCAACTGGATCCTGGACTTCCTGACGGGCCGCACCCACGTGGTAAGGGTAGGTAACAACACATCTGCCACACTGATCCTCAACATGGGGGCCCCTCAGGGGTGCGTGCTCAGTTCCCTCCTGTACTCCCTGTTCACCCATGACTGCATGGCCAGGCACGACTCCAACACCATCATTAAGTTTGCCGACGACACGTGGTAGGCCTGATCACCGACAACGATGAGACAGCCTATAGGGAGGAGGTCAGAGACCTGGCCGTGTGGTGCCAGGATAACAACCTCTCCCTCAACGTGACCAAGACAAAGGAGATGATTGTGGACTACAGGAAAAAAAAGAGGACTGAGCACGCCCCCATTCTGCTCAGTCCTCTTTTTTTTCCCTGTAGTCCACAGGTTGAGAGCAGTGGAACAGGTTGAGAGCTTCAAGTTCCTTGGTGTCCACATCACCAACAAACTATCATGGTCCAAACACACCAAGACAGTCGTGAAGAGGGCACGACAAAGCCTATTCCCCCTCAGGAGACTGAAAAGATTTGGCATGGGTCCTCAGATCCTCAAAAAATTATACAGCTGCACCATCGAGAGCATCCTGACTGGTTGCATCACCGCCTGGGTATGGCAACTGCTCGGCCTCCGACCGCAAGGCACTACAGAGGGTAGTGCGTACGGCCCAGTACATAACTGGGGCCAAGCTTCCTGCCATCCAGGACCACTATACCAGGCGGTGTCAGAGGAAGGCCCTCAAAATTGTCAAAGACTCCAGCCACCCTAGTCATAGACTGTTCTCTCTGCTACCGCACGGCAAGCGGTACCGGAGTGCCAAGTCTAGGTCCAAAAGACTTCTCAACAGCTTCTATCCCCAAGCCATAAGACTCCTGAACAGCTAATCATGGCTACCCGGACTATTTGCACTGCCCCCCCCACCCCCACCCCATCTTTTTACGCTGCTGCTACTCTGTTAATTATTTATGCATAGTTACTTTAACTCTACCCACATGTACATATTACTTCAACTACCTCAACTAGCCGGTGCCCCCGCACATTGACTCTGCACCGGTACCACCCTGTATATATAGCCTCCCTACTGTTATTTTATTTTACTTCTGCTCTTTTTTTTCTCAACACTTTTTTGTTGTTGTTTTATTTTACTTTATTAAAAAATAAATGCACTGTTGGTTAAAGGCTTTAAGTAAGCATTTCACTGTAATGTCTGCACCTGTTGTATTCGGTGCATGTGGCCAATACATTTTGATTTGATTTGATTTGATTTAAATGGCCATGTACTCATATAATCTCCACCCGGCACAGCCAGAAGAGGAATGGCCACCCCTCAGAGCCTGGTTCCTCTCTAGGTTTCTTCCTAGGTTTCTGCCTTTCTAGGGAGTTTTTCCTAGCCACTGTGCTTCTACATCTGCATTCCTTGCTGTTTGGCGTTTTAGGCTGTGTTTCTGTATAGCACTTTGTGACATCTGCTGATGTAAAAAGGGCTTTATAAATACATTTGATTGATCAATATTTCAATATTTTATTAGGACGGGCATGGAAGTACGGTATGGTGGGCCCGCTAAGGCCCGCCCATACCGCCAGCCCTGGTTATGTCTATGCTAATATGGCTAAAGTGTCACTGTGAAATTTTAAGCATTTAGATAATCAAAACAAGCACAAAGCACATAAAGGCTTCATAATTCAGAAATGTCATGTTAACTGACTGATATTATCTCATAGAACAAAACATGTAAGATCTACTAAGCCTGTGTTAACATCAGACCTAATTTTCGCCATTTATACCAAAACCCTATTCTTTCCCCATTAATTTCTCCCATAAGATTGGCTAATGAACCAGAGGTAGAAAATGATAACACATTCAGTTTTCTAGGACTACAAGCTGTCCAGCTCTATTACAAAACAATAAAACAATAGTGAGTAATGACTAGCTGCTATGAAATCCTTAAGGAATGCATACTGTGAGCCAAATAGAGCCTTTCGGTTATCCAAGTCACTCAAACATTTTGGCTTCAGCCATTGTCCTTGAAAATATCCATTCCGGCTGCACACAGGCACAGGCACTCTGAGACATTCTCACTTCCCCAAAGTCATTGTACAACTTATCCTAGATGTTCTAATAAAATGGAAGTTTTAGATCAAAATGTAGAAAGTAGAAAGTTAGAGCCTTTTCCATGAACATTAACGTATATTTGATCAAATGGGATGTCAAGTGGATGGGATATTCAGTATGTTGTCTTACCTCTGGACAGTGCGACTGAGTTTGGTTCAGAGTGATGAGCAGGTTCGTCAACACAAAGAATGTGCTCTCCTCCTGCCACAAGCCAAAAAAGTCAAATTACTTCTCTCAAACATACAATCATCAATGGGCACTGCATCTCAGTGCTTGAGGCGTCACTACAGACCCCCTGGTTCGATTCCAGGCTGTATCACAACCGGCCGTGATTGGGAGTCCCATAGGGCGGCGCACAATTGGCCCAGCATCGTCCGGGTTTGGCCGGTGTAGGCCATCATTGTAAATAAGAATTTGTTCTTAACTGACTTGCCTAGTTAAATAAAGGTACAAATAAATAAATAAAAAATTCACATGCCTTTTGTTTGAAATAAAGTTAGTAGGACACAGTTGTTTCATCTCTGACACACATTCCATGTTTTAGTCAGAGCAGCGGTATCCTACTCCCAATTGATTTTCTAATTTCTTTGTGTACAAGGTCACCCCCACAGGCCCAAAAGCCTAAATGTGCACAAAGCAAAAGTGAAACATGCAGGAACCATAAAGCACCACTGTGCCAGTGAAGTTGAGGGCACACCCACCATGATGGATGTCAGTCAGCCTGACATCAGGTGACTGGGAGAAGTAAAGGGGTACTTGTATTTAGTGGTGGTGATTGCAATATATCAGGCCTATACCTCATCTTCTATACGTCTGGGTGATACCTAATAATAATAATAATATAATAATAATAATAATAATAATAATACCTGTGGTGGGATGACATAGTCTGCCACATCCCAGATTTGCAGGCCCAGGTCAGAAGTGTTGGTCAGGGCGATGCCCTTCACCTTGGTCGTGACAGAGCTGAGGACTGCATCCGTCTCCTGGTAGCCTTTGTTCACCACACAGACATACCTGCATAGGTGTGCAAGAGGGCATGCAAAGCAGTGGTCAATGTATTATGGGCTTACCTTTATGCCCAGGTCCATGGGGCTTAAAAGTATAATATGGGGTGAATCACAGAGAAATCATTGTATATTTTTTACATAAAATACATATGAAAATAAGTGAAGTATTGCCAAAAAATGTTGTGACAGCTGTGGCTATGATGGCAGTGTAGGAAGGGGGTACTGACGAAACCACTTTGTTTGATTAGTAAACATAAGTCAATATGAAATTGTTAGAATGTCATGTGGTAGCATACCATTAGTCTTTATGCGCACTTACCCGATCACATATGCAATCACTAAAGCCTGCGTGATTCTGTTGACGGTTCCAACCTTGAAGCTCCGAATTACAAGAATTTTCGGCGTTGAATATTCGAAAAAACATTGACAGATGGACGCACAACATCCCCTCTCTTTCATCATGTTTGCTGCCTCCGAAAAAGCGGATTCAAAACGCTATTTTGTATCGTTAGAAAGAACGAGATAACCCGACCATTTTAAGGATATCTTCCACTGAATGTCACGCGTTTTCGAAAAAAACTAACCTGCAGTTTAACTTTCACGGTCCGTGCTATCCGGGATCCTTGGGACGTCCCTACCACCCCACCCCCTAGTGAAGTTGACATTTAAAAGGGTTAAGGTTAGGGTTAGGTAAGGGTTATGGTTATGGTTATGGTTATGGTTATGGCTAGGGTAATGGTAAGGGCTTAAGGTTAAAGTTAGGGTTTAGTGTAGGGAAGTCCCAAGGATCCCGGATAGCACTAACCGAACTTTCACTCCCACTGTAATTTCCCTGTCTTCCGCAACGTTTGGATTGAAGCGGTTCAGTTTCATTTCCCAATAATGAAACAAGCTACTTTGAGCTGACGCATAATTTTTGATATTTAGACCTACCATCTAGTATGGCAAATGTCAAATGAGTTCACAGAGCAGTAAAAGCAAAGAGAGTTCATAAGGTTTTTTATCCTCTCTAGTAAAAGTCTGACCTTTGGTACCCTTTGCCAAACTGTTGGTGGCGGTGGCAGCTGCACCACTTTGGTTTTAGAAGTGGGGGGGACATAACCTGGTGGGGGGACTGGGGGTCCTCCCCCCAAATATTTTGGGCCATCTAAAGCTCATTTTCTGCATTTTTACACAATCCATCTCCATTTAGAACAAAAAGTAAGCAAAAATGCCTACAGTCATCAAGCTAGGTAGGAGATTATTATTAAATATGTTTAAGTGGTTAATAAGACTGAACTAGATCAAAGGTAATTCAATAATACATAATAATATAATATAATATGCCATTTAGCAGACGCTTTTATCCAAAGCGACTTACAGTCATGCGTGCATACATATTTTTTTTTTGTGTGTATGGGTGGTCATATTGTGTTGCACCTTTAACCAATAGCCTAACAAATGAACAACTCTTGAAAAAATAAAAATTGATTGTCTTTATTAAGACATCTTCTATATCAAATTTCAGCCAGACCGACCAGCCAGCCCGAGCCGCCTGCACGCCCGACCCCCACCAGTCCAGTCAATAACTCAACTCTCTCCCAACACAATTTCCTTTCCAGTTCACACCTTTAATTTTTTTTATTCCTAAGGGAAAGGTTTGGAAACAAAAAATTTAACAAAAAATCCCACATACACCTCAAATATACAGTGGGGGAAAAAAGTATTTAGTCAGCCACCAATTGTGCAAGTTCTCCCACTTAAAAAGATGAGAGAGGCCTGTAATTTTCATCATAGGTACACGTCAACTATGACAGACAAAATGAGGAAAAAAAATCCAGAAAATCACATTGTGCGATTGAATACACATTGTTCCAAGTAGGTCTTGTTGACGTAGGGCAAGATATTCCTTCTGTAGAACAGACAAAAATATCATAGTTATAGTGTTACATGCAGTCGCTCTGACTGCAATTCCATTGTTTATCACTGGATGGCCCAATGCAGCAAATCTTGGTATCGCTTTATTTGGATAGTCCATCTGTAGATCCTCTACAGACTATCAGTAACATTTCAACTACACTATATACAGTGGGGGGGAAAAGTATTTAGTCAGCCACCAATTGTGCAAGTTCTCCCACTTAAAAAGATGAGAGAGGCCTGTAATTTTCATCATAGGTACACGTCAACTATGACAGACAAATTGAGATTTTTTTTCTCCAGAAAATCACATTGTAGGATTTTTTATGAATTTATTTGCAAATTATGGTGGAAAATAAGTATTTGGTCACCTACAAACAAGCAAGATTTCTGGCTCTCACAGACCTGTAACTTCTTCTTTAAGAGGCCCCTCTGTCCTCCACTCGTTACCTGTATTAATGGCACCTGTTTGAACTTGTTATCAGTATATACACCTGTCCACAACCTCAAACAGTCACACTCCAAACTCCACTATGGCCAAGACCAAAGAGCTGTCAAAGGACACCAGAAACAAAATTGTAGACCTGCACCAGGCTGGGAAGACTGAATCTGCAATAGGTAAGCAGCTTGGTTTGAAGAAATCAACTGTGGGAGAAATTATTAGGAAATGGAAGACATACAAGACCACTGATAATCTCCCTTGATCTGGGGCTCCACGCAAGATCTCACCCCGTGGGGTCAAAATGATCACAAGAACGGTGAGCAAAAATCCCAGAACCACACGGGGGGACCTAGTGAATGACCTGCAGAGAGCTGGGACCAAAGTAACAAAGCCTACCATCAGTAACACACTACGCCGCCAGGGACTCAAATCCTGCAGAGCCAGACGTGTCCCCCTGCTTAAGCCAGTACATGTCCAGGCCCGTCTGAAGTTTGCTAGAGTGCATTTGGATGATCCAGAAGAGGATTGGGAGAATGTCATATGGTCAGATGAAACCAAAATATAACTTTTTGGTAAAAACTCAACTCGTCGTGTTTGGAGGACAAAGAATGCTGAGTTGCATCCAAAGAACACCATACCTACTGTGAAGCATGGGGGTGGAAACATCATGCTTTGGGGCTGTTTTTCTGCAAAGGGACCAGGATGACTGATCCGTGTAAAGGAAAGAATGAATGGGGCCATGTATCGTGAGATTTTGAGTGAAAACCTCCTTCCATCAGCAAGGGCATTGAAGATGAAACGTGGCTGGGTCTTTCAGCATGACAATGATCCCAAACACACCGCCCGGGCAACGAAGGAGTGGCTTCGTAAGAAGCATTTCAAGGTCCTGGAGTGGCCTAGCCAGTCTCCAGATCTCAACCCCATAGAAAATCTTTGGAGGGAGTTGAAAGTCCGTGTTGCCCAGCGACAGCCCCAAAACATCACTGCTCTAGAGGAGATCTGCATGGAGGAATGGGCCAAAATACCAGCAACAGTGTGTGAAAACTTACAGAAAACATTTGACCTGTGTCATTGCCAACAAAGGGTATATAACAAAGTATTGAGAAACTTTTGTTATTGACCAAATACTTATTTTCCACCATAATTTGCAAATAAATTCATTAATAATCCTCTTTTTTTCTCATTTTGTCTGTCATAGTTGATGTGTACCTATGATGAAAATTACAGGCCTCTCTCATCTTTTTAAGTGGGAGAACTTGCACAATTGGTGGCTGACTAAATACTTGTTTTCCCCACTGTACATTAACACAAAGAAACAGCAAATTCTCCATATAATTAATCTCATAATAGTACTGTAGAGCTCTTTTTAACAGCACACAATATAGCTGGGTCGCCCCGTCCTGTCCCTAGGACTCCACCACCCTGCAGCACCCCAACACAACACACCCCACTCAGCTTTAGAATCTTAGTGAAACATTCAATATTGGTTTTGGGTGTGTTAGGCCAAGGCCAGAGCGACAACCCAAAGGACGGCAGACCCCCAGGGCCAGGACTGTGCAGCCCAGCCGCTGGGGATTGCCTAAAAGGGTATCTCCCCTGAAGAGGGCATGTTTTCAATACAGACTCCTTTAGTTGTACTGTATTCCATGTAAGGCAACCAGACCTTATGAAAGTTGCCCAGTATGCCTTTAATCTTGTAGTAAATTAAATCTAGTGATACATAACTTGACATTGTGGGAGGAAAACCAACCTTCCAATTAATGGCAATGCATTTCTTAGCCGCTATAAATGCTTGGTTACACAGTTTCTTCAGATAACAGTCTCCAGTATCAACTTTTCCAAGCAAACAAAAACAGGGAGAAGGGATAATCTGTAGACATGCTGAGATAAAAGAACATACTCTTTGCCAGAATTCAGCCAGCCTTCACAAGACCATAACATATGCAAATATGTCACCTTTTACACCTCCAGCAGAGGAATGACATTTCTGAGTGCATGTAATTCAGTTTCACTGGCATATAGTACATTCTATGGATGGCTTTAAACTGCAGTAATTTATTTCTGGGATGATATGAACATGACTGGGCATTCAAACATATCTGTATGCATTCATCATCATCAATAGCTTCTACTAGGTCTTCCTCACATTTTTGATTTACATGTTTTGTGTCATCAGGAAAAGCCTCTATCAACCCTTGATACAGTTTGGAAATCAACTTTGGAGGTCGCCCGAGCCTCTCGCTAGCACAGCAGGTGGGAGGCTGGGGCTGCCCTGTGTGCTAACTAGCTAGCTTGCTAGTTAGCGACACCGTGGGCTAGCTTGCTAGTTAGCTAGCTAGCACACGGTGTCGCCCCCGCCTGCTGTATACCGGAGAAAACTGTGCCCGACAGGCAGGGGCGAAGGGACACCATCTACCAGTGTCGCCCCCGCCTACCGCTACACAGCAGGCGAGAGATACCTTAATAGAAAATGACTCAAGTAAAAGTGGCAGTGGCGTCAGTTCAATTTTGATTTGAGAGCACTAGTTCCGCTCACATTGGCACATGGTTACAGTACATCTGTATTGTTCAGTGCGCTCAGGCTGTTACAACGTTTATGAACTCGATGGCCAAGAGAGCAGCACGGTAACTTGTAACGATGTTTTGTACACATAATTGTCAACACATACATTTTTCTGTCATTACTGTCCCTGTCGCAGAATGCTTCCATATGGCAGCATGTGATAATATACTGTAGCCTAGTTATTTAATCCACCACTTGATTAAACCGAGTCCCAGATCTATAGGCTACATTTTTCGAAAAGGTATTATTCAGCATACATTTTGGTAGGGTGACCTGATTTGTCTAACTGTATAATCAACATTATTGTGCCCAAACCGATTGTGAACCCAAATGTGTAACTGATTCTAGAGGGGGGGACAATACATTGAAAGATAATATGGGTTGGGTGTAGGGGCAGATTTAGGCTATGTCGTATTTTCTTCAGGAGATTTTATTACCTGTTTAATTTATTTGGTCTTCACAATAGCTGATGTAAGTCATTAGGACAATTTCCATAACCTACAATGGGCTACAATATAAACTAATCAATGTGCTTATCTCAGCAAGAACAATACTGTTATT